GAGTGAGGGGATGAGGGGAGTGAGGGGATGAGAGGAGTGAGGGGATGAGGGGATGAGGGGAGTGAGGGGATGAGAGGAGTGAGGGGATGAGGGGATGAGGGGAGTGAGGAGATGAGGTGATGACGGGATGACGGGATGAGGAAATGAGGGGACTGAGGGGCGGAGGGGGAGTGAGGGGATGTGAGGGGAGTGAGTGAGGAGCGAGAGGGAGCCTGGGGAGCGGGTGTGAGGGATCCTGAGGAGGGGGCTCTGAGGAAACATATACATATGTCACAGAATCATAGAATATGCCGAGTTGGAAGGGACTCACAAGGATCATTGAGTCCGACCCTCAGCCCTGCACAGGACCAACCCCAAGAGTCACACCATGCACCTGACAGCACTGTCCAAACTCTCCTTGAGCTCTGTCAGCCTTGGTGCTGTGACCACTTCCCTGTTCCAGAACCCAACCACCCTCTGGGGGAAGAACCTTTACCTGAGATCCAACCTAACTCTGCCCTGATACAGCTCCAGCCATTCCCTGGGTCCTGTCTATGGTCCCCACAGAGCAGAGCTCAGGCCCTGCCCCTCCTCTGCCCCTGCCCAGGAAGGTGGAACTGCAGTGAGGTCTCCCCTCAGTCTCCTCATCTCCAACTGAACACACCAAGTGCCCTCAGTGTCCTCACATGCCTTCAAATCAAAGCCCGTCACCGATGTCAGAATTATATAAATATAATTATCTCAAAGAAGGGTGTCAGAGAATGGTGTCAGACTCTTTTCATCAGTGCCCAGCAACAGGATGTGGAGCAGTGGCCATAAACTAAAACATGAGAAGTCCCACCTCAACATAAGGAAGAACTTTTTTACGTTGGGAGTGGAAGAGCACTGGAACAGCTGCCCAGGGAGGGCGTGGAATTTCCTTGTCTGGAGACATTACAAACTCACCTGGATGTGATCCTGTGTCACCTGCTCCATGTGACCCTGCCTTGGCAGTGGGGTTGGACTGGATGATCTCCAGAGATCCCTTCCAACCACAACTATCCTGTGATTCTGTGAAACCTGGGAAGGATGTCTGTGAAGGTACCTGGAGAGAAGGTCTGTGAGGAATCCTGGGGAGGAGGTCTGTGAGTTTACCTTGGGATGGTGTCTGTGAGGATATCTGGGGACAGCCTCTTGAGAGAGATCATCAGTGAAGTCTTCACTACCACTGCAGTCTGAAGAGACATAGAAGTGGCCTTAAAAACATAAACCCCCCATGAAGCCCCAGCTTTTACAAGCCCTTGGTAGGGTAAGACTGTCTTGAGTCAATCATTTTACAATTTACAGAAGCAACAACATTTCCAAGGCCTGGAGGTCATCCCAGGTTTCTTTAGGGAAGAAACTCCCCTCCCTTGGTCAGCACATCCCACGCCATGAAGAGGTTCTGGACCCACACCAGAGAATGACACTGGGCACTGCACAGGGGAAAACCAGCTGCCATTGTCAGAAATGGGAAGGAAACACATGTGGGGAGCTACATTCTGGTGTGGGAACGTGGGTGAAAGGAGGAGAAAGGAGATCTTCTCCAGCAAGAGAAAAGAAAGTTCTCCATTGTCAACAGAGGAGGTGGGAGGGAGGGGCTGAGTTTGGGGGTGGCTGCTCTGCCCATCCCCAAATATTGTGAGGAAGGCATTCTTCTTCCTTGTACTTCTGAGCATCTCAAGGGTTAGGAAAGAAGGTCATTTCACACCCACAATTAATTTTTAAAATGTGGAGGGAGGGCTCTCATTGAGGGTCTCGTTCTCTGCACCTGATGGAAGAGAAAACTCATCCCCTGCTATTTGAGCTGATGCCCGAAAATGAGGATGTGTACTTTTGCTGGTCATTTTAAATACAGCTGTGACTACTGTTCCATATGACATTTTTCAAATACGATTCATTAAACTGTCATGTAAATACTGCCTTTTCTCTCCAAGAAAACTGTCAACAAGGTTAATTCCACATTTCCAGTCAGACACATTAGGCATTTCTTTAGTAACACAGAAAGGGGTCATGTTTATTCATTTTTTACTGCTACATCTGAGCACTGAACTCAGTATACAGATCTATTCCTAGATCTGCTTTTAAATATCATTCCCAAATGTCATGTAACCACAATAAAAGCCTCTGGGATTGAAACAAAACAAAACAAAACAAAACAAAACAGGGAGGTTTTATTAATTTTATCAGCAGAGAACAAACATATGCACGTAAGTACCCCACACTGCATCCTCCCCTTGGTGCACATAGAATCTAATGAAAGCTGTGTGGCTGCAGGAGGGCAAAATATAACCCAATAAAAGCAACAAATAGAAGAAATCCAAACCAAAGCCCTGCAGATTTGGATGTAAATCCTCATCTTGTTCCACCCTCCCTCCTGTGCTGGACTGTACCACTGTGCTGATGGTGGTCCAGGGTACATATTCCTCTCAAATCTCTCTCTGTTTTGCTCAGACCATCCTATAATCTGATAATTTCAGTGGGAGATAAGGTTTATATGACTTCCAACTGTCAGGGTCAACACAAGCTTTCTCCTTTCTTGCTTAGATTAACTGTGCAGTTTATTCTGCATGGGCCTTTTCTGCCAGGCTTTAACAATAGAGAATTTGTCTCTTCTGCACAGCCATTAAAGCCCTTGCACCATTTTAAAGCTCATGGTTAAGAGGCTCCCCAGTGAGCTTATAGAAATCTATGGCCATTCAGCTACACACAGTTCCATTTGACTCATGTTTCACCCCAGATATCTCTGCATTTCAGCACCATCACACACAAACCACGTTCCCTGCTAAATATTGGAGGACATTTATGCACCATGACAGTTTTGCATAGTTGCACTAATTACTACTTTCTCCATCCCAGTGGAGGTCAGACCAACTTAATCCTCCCTTGATCAGTTCTTCAACTCATGAATTCCCAGGCTTGGCTGCTAAAAAGCAGCAGAAGTTTCCACCAAAACTTGCAGGAGTTCTGCCCATTATATATTTATAGGAACAGTTAGTTCACCCCTGTAAAACACACTTATTAGCACAGCAAACTCAGTCCTTTGGTGTCTTCAGTACGGTTGCCTTCACTGAGTATAAAACAGGCTGCTCTGCTTGTCAGTCAAAGACCTGAAAGATAAATTACAGCAACATTGTATACAAAGTGAGTAATTGCATTCCTACTTGTAGAATTTGTGTCAGAAATGTGTCTTCATTTATTTAATTACTTCATAATCCCATATTCAACACATGGCTAATCTTTCTTGATCCAGTAAAACACAGCCTTCCTGTTTAATCCTGATAGCAATCTCTATCACTCAGCAGCTGCAGCATTTCACCTCCACACTGTTTATCATCCCTGACTAGAATTGAAACACCCTTGTCTGCTGGTTTGTGTCTCTGGACACTGCTATAATTGCCTCGAATTCTGATCCAAACCCACAATATTACAGATCTCTCTGTTGTGGATGACTCAAGCATTTGATATTTTGAACGTAAAAAACTCTTTGTTCCAAGTTAGAAAAACTACCGATAAGTTAAAAACCTTTTGTTTTGTTTTGTTTTGTTATTGCAGCTGTGCCAGAGCATTGATTTAGGATTTTATTTGATAATTCAACTGTATAAATCTTTTGATCAGGAGCTGTGTTAACAACCATGCCCTGCCAGCTTCTCCACTCCACAGCCCGGCCAGGTTTGTTCTGGAAGCAGAGCCTCGTGGTGCAGAAACCATTTCACACACACAGGAATCGAGGGGCAGATCTTATCTCTGACTAAATTCCCCCTGCAGAGGAATGTTAGAGTTGTCTTAATAGGGCACTTTGGGACTTTCAGTTGACAGAGAAAGCCTTCAGCACCAGTGTTGCAGGCAACAAAAGCATATTAACTTCCCCCTAGACCAACCCAAGGATGACTGGAAAAACCAAGTCAGGCACTCCTGCTTTCCTTAAAGCCACACTCAGCTGGTCCCACACCAGAGCCAGCAGTAAAGTCCACAGCAACACTATATAAACCTTATTGTGTGCAGGATTTTTCTTCCCCCATTTCTACCTGGCAGCAAGACTCACTTTTTCACTTTCCTGATTGCTTCCATAGTTCTTGAGGCAGTGGATGCAGCCTTTGTAGCAGTGCCTTGAAAATCTTCTGTGGACTGTTATTGATGGTTTCCCCCTCCTCTTGTGAGCCACAATTCCACTGACTTCATCTTCTTTTAAACATTCACCAAGGAGAGGAAATCTTTACAGTAACAAATGTTTAAAGTGCATTTCTGTCCTTTACTGTGTCCCAGAGTCCTTTGCTACTGGGTTAGGAAAATTCAGTTCTTGTAATTTAAAAATATATCACTAAAAAGGTGCATACAGCAGGACAGACCTTTATTTAACAACCCTTTGTATCTTCCATATACTGTCGTATCCTTTTAATAGAGAGGGGTTTTATTTCCTCCTGTGAGCCCCAGAACTGCAGATTCAGCTTTGTTAGCTCTGCTGGGCAACTGTGCAGAAAAAAAACCTTCTTTAACCTGTGCAATAAGTGATTGGTAGCTCATACAAAGTTCCTGAGACATTTGTTCATTTTACAGCAGACCATAATTCTTCTTCTTTAAAAATACTGCAAATGCAGGTTCTGATTTGACCTCTTCCTTGCCTCTGCTCCTGGCCTCTGCTCTATAAGACAGTCAGATTTCATAGCAACAGTGACTGGATTTTTGGAAGAATTTGCTAAATGTTTGCCACCAGAAGTGCTGCAACTATTGGCAAGAAAATTAGGGATTTCTGGCAGGCAAAGTGTCCCCAACCACTCTGGAGACATTGCAGTTGGTGCCCCCATGTTCTTGTCCTTCTGAATCCCCATGTCAGAGATTTCAGCAAAAGAGAAAACATCCCTTGACCTGGAAAGATCCTACCTCATGTTCTTCAATCTCTTTGCTAGTGTGTATTACTTATAAGATCTCAGATTAAAGCCAGGTGAAATACTGGCAAGTCCTGGGCAAAGTAAAAGCTGAACACACTTTGTGGTAGAAAGTACAAGAAACAAAACAATTCAAGCAAAAAAACTGGAAAAAAAAACCAACCAAAAAAACCCCCCAAAAAACCACCAAAAAATTATTTATCACATACAGAAGTTGGAGGTGGATTTCCAGATGGAGCCTTTCCCACCTTGCAAAGCTGTCTTGCCCACGTGTGTCTAGAACTGAAAAGACAAAAACACATTTAAAACCAAAAAGAATTGTGTTCGCATAAAATGCATAATCAAATAAAAATGTTACATTTAAACTGAAAGATAAGATTGAGGCAGGTATTCACAATGATTAACTTTTGCCTTCTGAGGCTAATCCTCAATTTTTTCTGTCATAAAGAAAAAGAAACGAGTCCTTCTGAATGGTGTCTTAGAGGAGAAGTCTGTCCCATCCAATGTGGGTTGTTTTGTGAAGGATGTTATTGACTCCAGAGGTAAAAGCCAGGCCCTGTGATTCCTGTCCTCAGGACTTGCAGACTCACAGAAAAAAATCACTTTACTCCCCTGAATCAATCTGGTTGGGTCACATCCCAACATCCATCAATTTAAAGACTCAGTGTTTAATGGGAAGATAATCCCTGCATATTTGACAAACGGTTTCAGTTTTTTAATCTTTCTAGTGGGTATGGTGATCATGACAAAAGTAATTTTATAGTATTTCACAAAGTATCTTGTAAAATGGCAACCATATTTTATAGTGGCTTTTATTACTGCTGGAACTTTTACTAGGAATTGCATCACAAAAACCAGTTAACATAAATATTGCAGTGAAGAGCTTCCACCATTTAATGCCAGAGTTAACTCTGTCAGTGCAGCCTTCATTTTCACATGGAAAAGGTCATCAGAATTAAATTTGTCCCCAAACTGGGATGAAGTTTTGTAGCTCTCTTCAACCTGGAAAATATCATCCCAAAATCTGCCTCTGTCAAGCTGTCTTAGAGGGTTGCTTTAAACCCTCTCTGTAATATCTGAACAGAACCAGAGATCTGGAGATTAACACGTGGAATATAAAATGGGTTTGTTCAATATTTACCACAGTAAGAGCCTGTTTTGAACATCTGCAAAGCACCTCAGCACCGAAAGATAATAAATAACATCGCTTACATTAACAGACAGATTTCAAAAATTAAATTTGCCTGGGAGGTGGAGCATCATTAGTGGCTGAACTACATACATTAAATTTGCATTCATGTAGACGTTAAAGAAGACTCAAATGTGCTTGTATTTTTCCCCACATTATACCTTTCTTCTTTTTAAACTTTCCCAAATTTACCCATTTTTGCCACTACTTTCCTTTTCTCTTTAACACAGCATTATGCAGTTTCCATATTTTGAGCTCATGACCATTTCTTTCATTCTTCCTTTTCTCCTTACATTTACTTCACTCTTCCCCTTTTTCTCTTGCTCATATAAACATATCCTAAATTCCCTACAAAAGCCCAGATTTCCTGGAGATTCCAGATAAATCTGGAAGAAGTGTTGCCTGGTGGACAAAGAGTGCCAGAGTACCCAGCAGCTCAAGGCCAGGCTTGGCACGAGCCCAGCTGTGTGTGGTCAACATCAGATTTGAACCTGCTGAGTCATGTGAAAACAACTAGAACTGGGGATTTATTGCACCAGACAAACTCCTGGCTCTCACTAAACCCTCTTTTCATTAAAGAAAATAAAAAAAAAGTATTGATGTCTGTAGATGAGGACAATAAAGATGAGCCACAGCTGAGCCCTAATGGTTTGCACACTCATAAACCCTCCTCAGGCTTCGTGGCTTCGGTGCTTCCCTATGGGGGATAATGTTAAGCATGTGCTGGAATGCAATACTCTTGGATAATGGAGAGAAACAATTTTCTTTCTACCTGCTGCTACATTTTAGGCATGAAGCTTAAGCTCTCTGGGGAAGCTGACAATCCCCTCTGCCAATAACTCAGCCCCTTATGGAAAACCAAATGCTATTTTACACAATCACCGAATACCTTGAAGTCAGTTTGCTTCAGATGAAGAGTTTGGGGAGGGAGGGAAGAGGGGCATTTAGGTGTGGCAAGAGCTGGAAGAGGTAAAAATGTGCAGGTAGGATTGGCATCAATGTCTTCTTGGACCCAGAGGAGCTGTAAGAAATTAGAGGATTGAGGACCTGATGTCCCAGGTTTGGCACCGGGGTTGGGAATACCTGATTTTCAGAGGCAGCTTCAGGCTTTGGAACACTGAAAATACCTGACAAAAGTTTGGCCATTGCTTCAGATCTGCTACAAGCCTGTTGAGCTTGTCAGTATTTGCATATCTGGGAAAAAAAATTGTTTTTCGAAATGCAGACCTCAGATGAAGTCAAAACTGCAAGTTCCAAATGTGCAGCTGAAATCTCCCTAAAGAAAGAAATTAATACTGTTACCACGAGTCAGCTCTGCATGTTCCTGGCCCATATACTTTTAAAAATGGGATTATTAAATTGTTAAAGAGGTGAAGATAGTGACTCCCCAAGGCTTCATGGAAAAATGTGTGAAGAGATACACAAAGGTGACTTTAGACATTAAAAAGTCTAAGAAAAGGTCTGAAGTCTGGCCTCAAATGAAACATGTGCTATTAAATATTGTCACCTAGGCCAGCCAGAGAGACCACACTGAAAGAGCACATTAGGAGACAATCACCAGCACACTGATGCCACAGAAAAAAAATTGCCTGTCCTCTGCTGAGGAGGATTTAACAACATTATCTAGAAACAACTATATAATAATTACACTATTCTCTGTCCCCCTCAGCAGCGTTTTTGCAAGATACTACAATTAAATAGACAATCCTATGTCTCAATTTATTTTTCTAGATATGTAAATATTGACAAGCTCAATAGGCTGCTTAGAACGTGTGGTTTTAAGCCATTAATTTGAATTGTGGCTTCAGACTCCTGACCAATATTTCTCATCATTCATACTCCAAAGGGTTGTTGGGAGAAAGTGTCAAAAGAATAAAGAACCTGCCCAGACTGATGAGACTTGTTTCCAGACTTCACATTAAAGTAAAACACAATTAAAATAAATTAAACTAGTTTAATCACTTGCTGACATTTTATTCAACAGAAGATGGAAAACCTGCTGGATGTTCAAAAACTAAAGCTGCAGTCAGCAGAGACACGAAAAAGGTGCAAAACAGCAGCATGGCTTGAATCCCAGATTTATCCCACAGCTCTCACTCAAGGCTTCTCAGTCCCTGAATCCCAGAAAGAAGGATATAAGAGCACCCACACCTGACTCTTGCTGGCTTACTGTGATAAATTCCCTTCTCCTTACTAGGGGTAAGTGCAAACTGTTGTGCTCCCTGCAAAATCCAAGGAGTGTGTAATTAAGAGCAGATGTTTCCATCCTGGTTTATGCCTGTGTAGTGACAGGGAAGCACATGAAGCTCCATTCAGCAAGAGCAAAATGTTATTTAACATCATATGGGAAAGCACTGAGTAATGAATTTTACTCAACTGGCTAGGAAAACTACAGCCCCCCCCCCTTTAAGTAACAGCATAAAGTTTACACTGATGGAGACAAATAGGAAAAAAATCCAACCTCAAGACAAGAACATGGAGTGGTTTGGTTAATTTTACCAAAAAAGCCCCTTGGGAAAATGATGCATAATTTATATTCTCTACTCATTTAAACAACTCATACACTTCCTAAATGCAAAGTACAGATTCTTGGAAGAGCCTTTGATTAAAGTTTCCCACATCAGTCACAGGTGCTACAACATGGATACTTTGATGGAGACTAACAGAGCATAAGCAAACATAAACCATAAGAGATGTCAGCAAATTAACACCTTGTGTGGATCCTGTTAGAATTCTGAATTAAAATTGTATTTCAGATTTAGTTTAAAAACCAGTCTTATTGAATGAAGCGTTAGATAATTAAAATGAACCAATCCATATTCTCTGGGGCCAAATTTTCAGAATTTTAAGGTATCCAATAATTCCATGAAAGTGGAAGCATCCATATTTATCCCAACACCTTCTGTAATAATGGGAAAATCGCTTGCACTCTCTTCTGCACTGGTGTAGCAGGGGCTTGGGAATGGCAGAGGCAGGAAGGACTCTGGCCTAATAAATGTAGGATGGGTACAAACAAGAAGGACCTGGCACTAATAGGCTGTGCAGGGAACTCCCACAGGAGACATTGCTGGAGACTCTTAAGAGGAGGATGATTAAGGCATTGGGGAATGTACTCCAGGGAGCCATCCTGCAGTGCCAGAGAAATGGGCTGGTAGGCAGCACAGGTAGTTTTTAGCAACTTCAAGGCATGGAATTCTGTCCTCAGCAGCCCTTCAGAAAACTCCAGAGAGCCAAGGTTATTTCCTATGTACATAAAATTCGTGTCCAGGAATCAGAAACTCCTCTATTCAGCATATAAATGCACACAGTTGTGTGATCTTAATACAGAATATAAATAAACAGTGACAGAGATGCTTAAGATATACACACACTTACTGACAAGGTATTGCCCTCAAAGTATTTGAATGCAAAATGGGATATGGCTGCTCTGGATTACTTTCTTTTCCATTTTCAAGTTTTTCCACATTCTTTAAGGGCTGAATAATTTTCTTCACAATTTATTTACTCTCAGCATTAAAGAGCACTGATTTGCATCCAATCCTTAATCCAAATGGACTTTCCCAGCGATTAAAATCTGCATTTCAAATATAAAGTTTTAATATTGTGACATTAAAAAGCAACCAAAGGTTTCCTCTGATTTTAAGTAGAAAGAGGAAATAATGCATTATTCCGGCTCCAAAGCTTGCTTAATGCAAGATCAATTTTGTTAAGTGTTGCTTAGCAATGGATTATGAGTGAAGATCCTGAATATTAATGCAGGATGGATACAACAGCAATTCCTGTGGATTTTCCTGGTGAACCACAAGCAAATAAATACCTGTAGAGTTCCATAAACAAAAGGAGGTCACATCTTGCTCACCTCTCGCATCATTTATTGGTCACCAGGACACACAGCAGGAACTTTTAGACCATCTTTGCTGTTTTCTGGGTGTGTACCCAAAATCCTGACAGTCTGCTCCCAAATCCTGAGCCAGAGACAAACTTTACAATGGCACAGGGTTGAGTCAAAGCAACAGGATCAAGGCTTGGTCATAGTTTTCTGGAGGATCTGAAATGCTCTTGTGGTATTTTCTACCTGCAATCCAATATATCA